CAGTTGGCGACGAGGATGGGATAAGCCGGGGTTTGTCGGAATGTAGTGAGTGCTTGCCGGTGAATCGATTTACCACGTGGCACGCGAGAGACACGTGTTCAACCGGTTGCGTGTAGAAGACTTGGAGGAAAGATGTCCACGGAAGGAAGCAGAGTTGCANGCGCGGGGTCTTTAGGAGCCGCAAGCATCGCAAGTAGCGGTGCCGGACAACGCGTAAGCCAGGAGCTAGGACAAAACCCGGGACCGAGTGCAATCAAGGTAGATTATTTCGACCCGAGGCAACAAACTTTTCAAAGATGGCTGCAACGGTTGGAAGGAGCTTTTCGAGTTTTTAAAATTCGAGAAGAAGCAGAAAAAGTAGCTTATTTGCTGCACTACCTGGGCGTGGAGGCTTTTGGAATTTTGTGCGACCGTTTGGACCCGGAGGATCCTTATACCTTATCGTACGGAGCGCTGTTAAACAGGTTGAAGGAATTCTATGCGCCGGAACCGTTAGAGATTGCCGAGATCTTCATGTTTCGTAAGAGGTTGCAACAGCCGGAGGAGAACGCTCAAGAATATATGGCGGCGTTGCAAAAATTATCGCTGCATTGCAAATTCGGAGAGTATCTGAAAACCGAATTGCGAAATCAATTTGTGTTNGGTTTGCGGAATCAGCGAATCCAAGGGCGTTTATTGGAGACGGCCGGTTTAACAATGGAATCTGCTTTGAAAACAGCCGGCGGGATGGAGCTGGCAGAGAGGGGCGTTCAGGAATTGAAGACACACGAAAGCGCGGCAGTAGATTTCGTGGGTCATGGCGCGTGTACATCGAAGAAAACAAACAGCAGCGAGGTCAAATCAAAGGGAAAAGGCGTTTGTAAACAGAAAAAGAAATCCGAATCGTGGAATAAATCGATGAAAGTAAAAGCGTCCGCGCGAAATTCGAAATTTAATAATGTTGTTTGTTACAGGTGTGGAAGGGACCATCTGGCGCCCCATTGCACTCTTCCTCGTCATGTCAAATGTAATGAATGTGGCGGTATGGGCCATTTGCAGAAGGTGTGCAAGAAGAAAAATCAAACAAAATTGTTGGAAGAAGTCAGCAGAGTCGAAGAGTTAGAGCACTCCCGATTCAGAGATCAATATACAGTCTCTCTCTACCTGGAAAATAAGCGAGTAACTTTTGAGGTGGATTGCGGCGCTGCGGTCACCTTGGTGAGCAAAAACTGGTTGCGACGAATGTTTCCGAGTTTAAAATTGTATAAAACGGATTTAAAGCTGCGTTCATATTGTAAGAAAAATTTTGCACCGTTGGGATTTGTTAAAGTTAGAGTACACGATATGGGTGGCTCATGCGAGTTAAATGCGTACGTAGTACACTATGACAGAAATCCGCTGTTAGGTCGGGAGTGGATCAATCAATTAAAAATTTTGGAAAAAGTTAAAAGGAGTTTAGAAGAAATTGAAGAAATAAGGACGCTGGAAGTTCATCATCACGGCAGATTGGAACAATTATTCACTAAATACTCGAATATAGTAAGTGAAGATTTCGCGTTAATAAAACAAATGGAAGCTCATTTAAAATTAAAGGAAAACGCGAAACCGGNATTTTTAAAAAGTAGAACCGTACCCTTTAAATTGAAAGAAAAAGTAGAAGAGGAGATAGAAAATATGGTGCAAGCGGGAATTCTAGAAAAAAAAGAATCGTCAAAATGGGCCACGCCTATTGTACCAGTCTTAAAAAAGAATGGGCAAATTAGAATCTGTGGTGATTTTAGTGTCACCGTAAATCCTTTGTTAATCGTGGATGAACATCCGCTGCCTACAATTGATGAACTTTTTGCGTCAATGGCGGGAGGAAAAATATTCTCTAAAATTGATTTGAAACAAGCATATTTACAACTGCCATTAGCGGAGTCAGAAAGAGAGATTTTAACGTTAAATACTCACAAAGGATTATATCAATGTAACCGTCTTATGTACGGAGTGGCAGCGGCTCCGGCAATCTGGCAGCGAACTATCGAAAATATTTTGAGCGGTATTCCCGGAGTTGCGGTATTTTTGGATGACATAAGAGTCTCGGGGAAAAATTTGGAGGAGCACATGGCACGTTTAGAATTGGTTTTTAAACAATTATCGAAGTACAATTTACGTATTAATAAGGAGAAATGCGAGTTCCTCCAGGATAATATTACTTATTGCGGTTATGTTATCGGGAAAAGCGGAATCTCAAAGGAGAAACAAAAAATAGAGGCGGTACGAAAAATGCCCAGACCCGATAATTTGACCAAATTAAGAGCATTTATTGGACTAAT